AAATACAGGTCTAATATGACCAAGTTAAGATTTCCTGAATTGATTCTTTCTTAAAAAAAAAAAAAAAACAGAAGAAGTAGGAAAATGCAGAAGGGTTAGAAGGCAAAAGCTCAACTCCTTTTATATTCAGGGAATGAGTAAAGAATCTACTCAAAGAAGCCTTATCCGGAACGGGTAACACACAATACACACTGATAATCACTGACATTTTTCTGCCTCCAAATTAAAATAATTATTAGGAACCTGTTGTAAACTCCTTTGGTCTCAACCAGAACTTATTTCACTTCATGGCTAGCACGGGGCACCTTCTTTATTTATCTCAGTCTATGCTCTTTCTCATTGTTGTGCATTCTGCTCTGCCCAACACAAACCAGAGGCTCTAGGAATGAGCCTGAAATAGAGAGAGATGCACCCGAAAAGTTGTGAGGCCTCCTACCATCAAAACAGGCCCCCTCCCCAAGATTACTGCTCTGTTACCTGGGGAAAAGGCCCTCTTCCTAGGGATCTGACCAGCGTAGCCTTCCTTTTTGGCTCTGTTTCCTTGCCACTGGAGCTATTATTAAAGGCACAGGACTGCCTTCCAGAAAAAAATTGGTGGCAACCTTTTCTCCCCCCCCCCCCCGCGCCCCCCCCCCAGAGCCTAGTTAATTGGCACTCAGATTGTTACCAGCAAAACAAAACACCCATTGGAGCAACATCTCACACACTCACTAGCAATATCTGGCCCTAAATCTCAAGGGGCATTCAAGCAAAAAAAAAAAAAGTGGGGGTCCAGAGGAGAATGAGAAACTAAGAGCATTCATACGACACATAGGAAGACAGACACATAGGAAGACAGCATTTACGCATCACCCTAAGCCAGTGTTTTTCAATTCCCCTGCTGGCTGGGGAATTCTGGGAGTTGAAGTCCACACCTCTTAGAGTCTCCAAGGTTCAGAAACACTGCCCTAGGCCATGGTTTAGCCATGCCAAAGCCACAATTGGTTCAGTTCTTACCACAGGCTACGCCTAAACCCACACCAAACCATAGGCTAAATCAAAACTGGACAAGCCATCTTGTAACTGAACATAAGGTGGGTGATCCTAGTTTACAGCTGTGTTCACCTACATATTTATCTTGGTTAGATCAATCTTACTGTAACCAGTTGCCCATTGCAACTTAACGAACTGTAACTAACCACACCGGCAGGTTAGGCTAAAATATGGAGAAGTTCATTCGTGGTTCAGTGGGTTGAGGGAACAGGTCCTCTTCGACCAGAATGCACAGCCATTTAATTGAGGCGGGCTGGGTACAAACCCGGGGCGCTGAACGGCAGAAGAGACGCGTTCCCATGACCCCCCGAACCGGAGCCGGCCGCTCGGGTTGAAAAGGCAAGCCTCGCTCGAGGAGGGGCGCCCCCTAGAGGCCGGGAGGAGAAGGCGCCGCGCTCGCTTACCGTCTTGTCGTTGGGCTGCTGCTGCTGCAGCTGCTTCATCATGATGCTCCGTTTTTTGTCCTTGCAGCGCTTGTTCTGAAACCAGACCCGGATCACTCTGGGGCTGAGGCCGGTCATTTCCACCAGCTGCTCCTTCATGAGGGCGTCGGGCCGGGGATTGGCGGCGTAGCAGGTCCTCAAAGTGTGGAGTTGCTTTTCGTTGAGGACGGTCCGGACGCGGGTGGTCTTTTCCGGCTGCTTATGGACGTGGGGCCGGAGGGCCGGCTGCCTGGCGGAGATAGGTTCTGCTGTAAGGGAGGGAGAGGCGCCTGGTCAGTGGCGGGGGAGGACAGACGGACAGAGCGACCCTGCAGCCCTTGGGAGGCCTCCTGCCCACCGCGCGGGAGGACTGGACCCCTGCCCTGCCGGGGAGAGCTGAGCGCCTGCCTTCGGGCTCCAGCGATCCACGGAGGAGGATTCCGCCAAGGCCTCGCTCCTTCTCCTTCTCCTTCTCGGAGTCTGTAGCTCCAGCCCTGGGTCTTCGTTCAGGGCTTCGCCTGCTTCCCGGAACGAATCTGGCTGCCCGTTCCGAAGCGACCCGCTTCGCCCAGCACCTTGGGCCGCTCGCAAAGTAGCCGGCCAGCTTCAGCCTCGTGCGTCGCGCGGGCTACAGAGCCTGTTCCGT